CATCCGAAACATACCAGCTGGCCACCAGGGCGGACGGCGCAGCTATGAAGGTCACCGACTGCTACCGACACGACTCTGTCCAAATCTCGGGGGATGTTGCACTGTCCATGATCATTTGCTCCGAAGCACACCAGCTTTCCCAGCACTGTGAGGGTGCAAGTGTGGCTTGTACCTGCAGCCACAGCGAGCAAAGGGCCTAAATCTGAAGGCACATAGGACTCAACGGCACCTGCTTCCTCCCAACACGTCAACGATCCGGTGGCTTGGTTGAGGACACAGGTTCGAGAGCCAGCTGCAGACATCGAAAGTGTGGGGAGCACATCAGTGGGAAGCTCGATTTGCCAAAGCAAGGCGATGCTCCGCCACAGATTTACGCTCGCCCGAGTCAAGGCACTCCCCGAAGATAGCTTGCAAGATCTGAGGGCTCCTCTCTGAACTGGCCGTGAAAGGCCCAGGAGGTAGCTGGAGACCATCCGGTAGTACAGAAGAAAAGAACATCACAATCTGCTGCGGCTGTCACCGCCCTAGGCAGGTATCTATGCTTACATCTACTTTGTATGTAGAGCACGTGACAGAAATCACAGCATGCCTTTGGAAGCACATTCCGAACCCGTAAGGATGCAGTAGCTTCGTGGGCCCTCGTCCGATCTTGAGTGCTGGGCGGCTCCCTGCCTGAGATAGTCATGATATCAACTATGTGCATACATGAAAACCGTCGTCGTCATCGAATACCACATCTTGAGCATCTTCCGCCGCCTCATGAACACTGCAAAACATGTTGGAAAACGAAGTAGTGCATTCTTCGGTTTTTTCCCGGACGATCGAACCTTGCTGGGCAATTCTGCGTCTTAGACCTCGGGCCTGAGCCCGTGGATCATCAAGGCAACGCTTGCAACATCGCATGACAAGCAACTCAAGCAACCCGAGCAGCCCGGACAAATCCCCCGACAGATCTAGTTGTCTGCATGTATCCAGGGGGACTCATTGAAGCTTTCCTCACTCTTGCTTGGACAGATGATGATGAAATCTAACAGCTAAACCGCTAACCCCTTCTTCACATAAACTCGGCATTGCTTTTCCCCCAAGCCTCACCAGGCTGATTGGTCCAGTGCGAAGCGACGAGTAGCGAGTGTTGAATCCTGAACATTACCCGAATGACGTGCAGGCTAAAGCCAGCCCTTCTGCATCCGAAACCCTGCGTCCGAAATACACCGCCATATTCTATCGTCCGGAACGGCAAACCTCGGCTCAAAACCAAACTTACCAGCCTCTGGGATCGTCAAAGTCGTTGGTGAATCTTGGATGCACTGCTTGGTGTAGCTTGGGTTCATTGCATCTTGAAGTGTGGCTTTCCAGAAAAATTAACTGAAGTCGAATCATTCACTGTATTCTAGGTTGCAAGTATATGTTGGCCAGCAAACGACGGACGATAGAAGAACCAAAGTATCGACACCGGAAAGGGCACATTTGCATATGAAACTAATCGCCTACGACCTTAAATTATGCGGTCTTGCCGTGTCGGAATAACCTATTCGTGCATGGGCGCACAAACACCCACATGCTTAAAGAGGGATGAAGCCACAGACATACATATTTATGTGCGCCCCTGCGATTTGCAGCTCTGCGGGAACAGGCGGGGTTTTTCATGGTTTTTCAAAGAGACAACATGCTGAAGATTTCCCCGTGTTATTGTGAACCTGCGCTAAAGTTCCTCAACTTTCTGCGGCTTGGATTCCCGGATGTTAGGCCGAGACAGCATTCAGCGGTGCCGAGTCTAATGGGACCGGAGGCCCAGCAGCCTATGCCCTTTCCGGGGAGTTGGACGAAGAGCTTCATGGTTCTTCTGGGCTTTGGCTTGCGAGTAAGTCCATGCTTTATGCCTCGCCATGCACGATAGCTAGGTCCAACGAGCTCGACTACAGCTAAAAGCATGCTAAAAGCCATCAGAACCATCCACTATTCAAAGTACTCATGATCACATCATTTATTCCCGTTGTGAGTATTCTCATCAACATCAGCAACACCCCCTTAATCTTCCTCGTGCTGATTCTCACCGCTTGTCATCAATGAGGCGAATCTCAGCCGGGCTTTACAAACGACAACCCCAATCAACGAAGCCCCAAGTCGAAGAAACCGGAACAGCCCCAAACACTTCAATCCTGCCTCTGGAATGATCTTTTCGGGCTTGCTTAGCAAGTCTCGCGCGGTGCGAAGGTTGCCGGACACAGGGGAACACTTCGGTCGAGTCCGGGATCGCAGCCACTGGGCTACTCGAGACAAAAACTGAAGGGCTGTGCCAGGTCATGTTCACACTTCAGCTCTTCACGGATGCTATGACATACGAGTAACTTCTGTTGGGAAATGCACTGCAAAGTAGTCGTCGTTGTAGCCGTGGTGGCGGTGGTCGTTGTCGAAGTAGCAGTGGTAAGTAGCAGCATGTAGTAAGCAGTAGTGGGTAGTAGTAGAAAATATTTAAATAGCAATGGTAGTAGTAGTAAATAGTAAACAATAGTCAATAGTGGTAAATAGTAACAGTAGAAGTTGTTGTTGTGGTGATAGTGGTAGTAGTAGCAGCAGCAGTAGCAGCAGCAGTAGCAGTAGCAGCAGAAGTAGCAGAAGTAGCAGAAGCATTAGTGGTAGCAGCAGTAGTAGTAGTAGTAGCAGCAGTACTAGTACTAGTACTAGACAGTACAGTGTACTAAAACTAGTACGAGTAGGAGGACCAGTAGCAGTACCAGTACCAGTACTAGTAGTAGTAGTGGTAGTAGCAGCAGCAGAAGTATAGTAGTAGTAGTAGTAGTAGTAGCAGCAGTAAACAGTTAAATAGTGGTACCTAGTGGTAGTAGTACTAGAAGTTTGTCACCCACCTAGTAGTACTAGAAGTAGTAGTAGTAGTAGTAGTAGTAGTAGTAGTAGTAGTAGTAGCAGTAGTAGTAGTAGTAGCAGCGGCAGTAGTTGCAGAAATACTAGTAGTAGTAGTGGTAGTAGTCGTCGTAGCAGAAGTAGAAGTAGAAGTAGTAGTAGCAGTAGTAGTAGTAGTAATAGTAGTAGTAATAGTAGTAATAGTAGTGGTAATTGTAGTAGTGGTGGTCGTGGTAGTAGTCGTAATAGTAGTAGTAGTAGTAGTAGTAGTAGTAGTAGTAGTAGTAGCAGTAGAAGCAGTAGCAGTAGCAGTAGTAGTAGTACTAGTAGTCGTAGTAGTAGGAGTAGGAGTAGTAGTAGTAGTAGTCGTCGTCGTCGTCGTAGTGGTAGTGGTAGTGGTAGTGGTAGTGGTAGTGGTAGAGAGTAGGAGTAGTAGTGGTAGTAGTAGTAGTAGTAGTAGTAGTAGTAGTAGTAGTAGTAGTAGTAGTAGTAGTAGTAGTAGTAGTAGTAGTAGTAGTAGTAGTAGTGGTGGTGGATGTTGCCGTGGCTGTTGGCGGTGCTGCTGTTGTTGTCGTTGTCGTTGTGGTTCTTGCTGTTGCTGTGTTCCTGTTGTTCTTGTTGCTCTTATTCTTTTCCAGCACGACAACAACGACGACTACTGCTACTTCGGCTACCCTTGTTTTGTGATTACTGCTACTCCTGATGTTAGACAGGGTGGCGGGGGAGGAGCAGTGGCAGCAGAAGCTCCCGGGCAGGCCTTCCAGCCGGACGAGTTGCGAATCTTGCAATGTGCGGTCTCGCCAGCCCTTCACGAAGACGTATAAAAAACATGCAAACAACAAGACGGATATCATGCAAGTCCTTGCTCCTTGTAACTCTAGTTGCAGAACTGGAAGGTGTGCATCTCAAGAACTTCTACAGTATGGCTCTATGACGGACGGAGTGTTATGAAATCTTCTTGTCAGCGTGCTTGTTCGAGGGCTTTCGGAAGGCTGCAGGAGACAGTTGATTGCGGGCTACGCGCAAGTCACAATGCCTGAATGACTTGCTATATGAACAGGGCTATGAACAGTGCCATTTCCACATGGAGCTCAATTGCTGGTGCGGGCAGCAAAGCAAGAGTTATTCTGCCAGCCATAGCGGGGCAAAACCTGTGCGTGTGTGGGACTACCGACTATCCGTAGATTGTAGATCGGGATGATGCAGGTAACTCATGAGAGGTGTTGGTTCAACTTCAAACCGAGGGCGGTCGTTCCAGTGGACGGTTTCTGCCAGCGTAAACGCTAGCATCAGGACGACTGCGACAACATGGAAAACCACAGGCACGAGACCACCGGGACACCACGACACCCATGTAATAGCAACATCGGGACTGTGTAAATAGTAAGATTGCAACACAGGAGAAGCGTGTCACTGGGGCTGCCTGCCTCGCAGTCACCCTGCCCAATACCTCTTTACCTCGAGCCTAAGAACCTCGAAGTGTGTACCTCGCTCTGGACAAAAATGCAACGTATCGACTCGGAGCTATTCAGGCGTTGTCACTCACATATGCATCCCAGAGATGCCACTTTCGCTCAGGAAAAGACAAGGAACATGAAAGTCCCCCAGCGTAAAGCCACTTTGGCTGTGCTTCTATCTCATGGGTTCAGTTGCAAAGCAACTGCTGAGACAACTAGAAGCAAAACCTTGTGGAGAAGCCGTGCAGGTTAGTTAGTTCGCGTTACCTCGACGAACATCTCCCCTGCAGAAAAAAGTTCATGGTACAGCCGGTATAGCGCAGCAAGTTTGCTGCAGCTCGGGGCGAGAAAGGCAAATGCCTGAGCTCTTGAACGCATTTCGGTGTGTCTCGCAGCAAAGCGTACGTAAATTGAAAACAACCCAAATTCGTCGAAAGCCTCCCGACCTGACATCCCCATCTAGGGGATGACGCATGGGTTCCCTGATAAGCCGGAACACTTCAGACTGCCCGAAATCGTTAGAGCCTCAAACTGGCCATCCGGCAGGGCTTGCGCACCCGCCGATTTTGAAGCGTGGCGGTCTGAGAATGCAGCCCCGTTCAAAAAGAAGGTGCTGCTCAGGATCAACCGTGGTCCCGATGCATGGAAAATGCACCTTCCGCAACCTCATAGTCTGCATGACTAGCCGCTGCGATCCGCTTGGCGAGATGAACGCTTATCCTGGCTGGAAGGTTTTGCAGATGATGCCTCGACGGTCTGCAAGACTTTGTCCATGCCCATCTCAAACTTGGCCAGGTTCTGAGCGACGGAGTCTTGAAGCTCAGCAACCTTCTCCGTCAACACTCCTGTGACCTCCGTCTGCGAATCCTCCCGGGCACTAGTAAGGCTAGTGCCTTTCTTGAGCATTTGCAACATCAACCGCTACAGCCTGCTTCTGCCATCCATTCCTAAAAGAGCACGTGCTCGGTTCAGCAGAATTTTCAACTTCGAAATGGGACTGTGGGCTTCGATAAGCTGGAGATGCAGCCTTCAGTTCCTGAGTTCCTGTCTACAGAGCAAGTCGGGCTGCTGAGGCTCCGTCTTTAAAGGCGCAAAGGAAGAAGCTCCCAACTCTATTATCGTTTTTGTTGTGTCAGGTCATCTAGGAACGGAACTCAGAACGATTCAGCCCAGGGGGCGAGACTCCTCTATGCCTGCCTCGCACACATTCGTTTCAGTGGGAAGTGACAACTCTGAAATCGATTCACACCGCCCCAAGCCTCAAACACAACCCGGAGCCCACCGAGCCCACAGTCCTTCAGCGGCAGCAGCTCAGCGCGGAGCGCTTCGCTGACTTGGAGCAGGCTTTGCTGGGATGCCTCCTGCTGCTGCTGCCCCAAGGCCGCAGCCAAGGCGGCGAGCTCCTCGAAGCTTGGGCTCAGTTGTTTGATGTTCCTGGTATGGTGCTTTGCTTGCGTGAGCTGCTGTTACAGTCTTGCTGTAACAACTTGTGATCTTTGTTTTCTGTTTGTTTAAAGGACGCCAGGGGCAAATTTGCATGAACACTGGTGTGAAATTTGAATGCATCTTCAGTTCAACGAACATGGCATGGGCTCAGGCTTGTGATAGGGATTCCTACTCCTGCTGAAGTTGAATACTTGTAAGATCGGGTCGTGCGGCTTGAGGTTGACCAAGAGCTTTTCCAGTAGAGGCCCGGGAAGCCGAAGGTCAGCCCATGTCACCAAATTTTCACAAGATCCGACCATTCCCTATCGAACGGTTTTGAGCATTGGTGCACTTCCGAACCTCTCACACCTTGCGATGTTTGATTATCCAAACCCCCAGCCACAAGCCAGCTCCTGCCGCATGTTGTTCAGCATGTCGGCCTGCTTTTCTCCATCCTCGGCCGGTGTAGATGCGGTCTCCAAGCGAGCCGCGCTCTCCTGCAGTTCTCAGAGCTCTACTTGACAAGATAAGCTGCGAATTACTGCTACCTCTACCACAACAACAGCAGCAACAATAGCAACAACACCACCAACTGCTACTGCTACTGCACTGCTCCTGCCACTGGCACTGTGATGCCCAACGCTACGACTACTTCTTGTTTGGGGTTCTTTCGAGCAACCCGCTTTTTGATCATGCATTCGCTGTCATGATGGCGATGTAGCGTTCCGATACTCCTGTAGACTATAGGCTCTCCTAGACCAGCGCGTTTCAAGTTCGGGAATTGGGGCCATGTGATGTCCTCGAGTTTCATGACCATTGACGTCACGGCCGCCTTGAACGAGTTGCCGCTACCTTCTTCATCATCACCGCCCAAGAAGGCGTCCTGCAACTTGGACATCTGCTGCATGATGACATCACGGATCTGCATCTCCATGTTGGCCGCAGAGTCACGCATGATCTCGGAGCGTGTGAAATTCTCGAGAGACTCGGCACTACCTTGCATTGCTTGCTGGGCATTGGTCAGCAGGTCCAAGATCATGAGGTTCTGGCGACGGACATCCGTCATGCGCTGCTCCTGCTGTGCCGCCGACTTCTCCGTCGCGTCCAGCATGGCATTGCCCTGGGTCGCGAGGGCGGCCAGGTCGACCCGCGAAGCCTGGATGATCTTCTCGGAGGCCGCAGCTTGTCCCTCTGCGACGGCAGTGCCGAGTGCATCCACCTTGCGCTCGATGCAAGACTCCATCTCCACCAAACGTTTTTGCGTGAACTCGTTGCCAGTGTCGACCTGTTGAACGCAAAACAGTGTCTGTACAAGAAGTACATCGCAGGATGCTCAGACTCTAAAATGCAGCTCTTGTTGGATTCGCGCACACCTTCTTGGCCAGGGTCGTTTGCGTCTGGGCCACGGTTTGCAGCACCGAGTGGGAGTCCTGACTCTGCTTCAGCAAGTCCTGCACCGACACATCACTTAGATTTTCAGCGGAAACTGCCCCATCTTCGTTGTCATAACCCCAGGCGAAACCACTGCAAAATCCGAAAAGGTGACTGCGAGTGTGCTTGATTCATGCCTTTCCGAAGTGCCACATGGTTTCCTGTCCAGTTCAAACTGATTGCATGCTTCTCCGACAAGGACCTCGTATGCTTTGCTTGAATCCTCAGGCCAAGTATGCCCGAGTAGAATGTTCGGTTTTGCAAAGTAGTCTTTGGGGGATGTCGATGCTTCAGAGTGAAGCAGGAGAAGCAATGGGACTTGGCAACTATTCGCCCGATCCTGCTGCGTGGCATCAAGCTTCTGAAGGAGCACATCAGACGAGCTGTTCACGGTGTCCAACAAGGCCCGCTTAGTGCTGTCACTGGCGCCGTCGATGTTTTTGACCAGGCCCGAATAGGAGTTCACCATCTGGTCTACCACTGCCTTCTGCGTGTCCATCTTCTGCATCACCGTCTCCTGTCGCTCGAGCTAGCGACTGGACAAAGTCAGCCAAACACTGGCCAAACATCACTCGAGACAAACAAAGCATTATGTACTCACATGTCTGTGTAAACATGTATGACCAAGTATACCCATGCCTCATGTGTAGAAACAGAAATGAGCAGTTATTGGCAGATAGGACGTACAGGTATGGACTTTGGGAGAGTGCCCTTCGGCGGGTTACCTCGCCCACAAAAACAACGACCAAACAAAACACTAAAGTTTAAAGAAGGGCAAGAAGAATGTCGACTACTAGGTGCAGCAACTGATACCACAAAGCCCGCGGCTAAAAAGTAGCGGAACATGCGCTGACATACAAAGAGACACACGACACGTATTCAGAAGCAATACAAACGCGCGCCGCGCTTCCTGGCGGACCTTGTTCATTATAAGTCCATGATGTCCGCAAGCTGCTGGAGTTTGCAGTCGCCGTCTGGGTCGGTTTTCGTCAATCTGAGTAGGGTGCTCATGCCATGAGTGCTCTGTGCGGGTGCGGGCTCTATTGACGGGATAGAACTGCAGGAATTTCCATAAAGTTATATGTTTCAGGTCTCTCTTGAATTCCGTTTGGGGTTCAACTTCTAGCAGTCTGTGCGCAGGAGTCCGGCAAGATGTTGTTTAAACCCTTCCCAATAGCAAAAGTGTTGTGATTTCTTTCCGAGAACCGTAGTTTCGATCTTGCTTCTTCCCCTTGGGATGGGATTTATGATGATTCAGGGAATCGTAGGCCGCGGGTGTTTTTTTGGGTCGATTCCCCCAGTATCGTGAGCATCGGCGTGAGCATGCCCCCATCCGCGTAGACTCTCTGCATTTTCGATTCAACCACATTTCCACGTGGTTTGCACGCTTTGCTTAATCTTCGCCGCTTATGCGGCTACATGCGCAGCGTACATGCCATGACATCAAGATCCTTTAAACGACAACCGTCACGAAGATCGTGAACCCAACGTCTCATCTCTGTGAGATGCATACAGAGCAACAGTTTCAGCCCCAGGGCAGGCAGGCCAACTAACTCCCCGCCCTTCCGACATTGCTTTTTTGAGGCCCACCGGAATGCCAAACCTGACCACACATGTGGACCCACAAGTGTCCAAAAGGAAGGATGCAGTGTCACAGCTTTTTCAGACAACCCGGCACGTAATTTCAGTCCCGCTAAGATTCGAATTCGCTGTTGTCAGTGCGGGGGCCCTACTGCCAGCTCTTACACTGAAATTGGCACCAAAACGTGGCATCGCAACTCTCCTGCGAGGAGTCGAGCTTCTGCAGCAACACCTCGGGAAAAAAAGAAGTTGCCGCAAGTTTGCTGCACATCGTGACTTAGTGCTCTCCCTTAGGTTCAGCCTCATTGCCTCGAAAGCTTCTGTAAAGAAGCTGCGAGCTTTGAGGGTATTGATAGACATCCAAGGGGTGCAGGCCGAAGTTGCACTACCAGCAGCAGCACCCCACCACCATTAACAACAACAGCACCACCAACACCAACACCACCTTTCACTGCTACGGCTGCTACCACCAGCACCAGCACCAGCACCACGACATGCTTATGGCTGTAGCCGCTGTGCACAAATGCGAAAACAATCTCCAGTTGCTTTCCTGAAGCAGGGAAAGGAACAAAAAGGTTCAAGATACACACGTTTCTCCTGGGATTCCAAACCTGACAGGCGTTGACGGTCTGCAGCAGCGAGATCTGCGAGAAGTCCATGCGCTGGGAGATGGCTTCTTGCGAACTCTCGAGCTGGCGTTGCAAGTTCTCCTGTGACCGGGTTTGCAGATTGTAGCACCAAAAGCCCCGCAGTGTAATCAAGCAGGAGCGAATCTCAGACTTTTGTTAACGTCAGCCTACCGCCAAAACGACTGATCCATCACGGTATATCCGGGCACAAACTCTGCAACAGTTCGAACAAACTCTTGCAACCGGAACACTGCAAGCAAATACACATGCACCTACATGCTAGGACATCGACTAGCTTCAAACTTGTGGATTCTGACGTTTGTGAGGGGCACCTGAAGCGATTTGTACCTACACAACTCTTTTGAGCGCCCTTCGTGGTCCTCCATGACTTGCATGCGAGACATGATCATATCCTGGACCGGCACCAGCGCCCTGTTCACTGCCTGTGTTTCCCCGCGGTGTGGGCTTTTGGAGATTGGGGGTCCTTGACTGGATTCAATGTGCGCTTGGAGGATCCATGTGAGAATCGGGAAGCTTCGAAGCACATGGCAGCGATAACTTTGAAGGTGCAAACGTTGATGACTTGTGCAACTATTGCAAAACAGAACAACCTTCTCCACAAGGCCAGATCATCCCTTTCAATCTGGACAATCAGCAAAGTCATCCCCCGATCCCGTGTAGTACCTCGCTTGCATTGCCACGGTAAAAAGATGTAAAACGAACCGACAGTCTCCGATCCTAACCTTAAAGCCTCTGTAGCAGTAAAGCCGTTGGAGGCACCGACAGGATCTGGTCTTCCATGCCCCCGATGTCCATGACCATGCCTCCTGCTGGCAATTAGAGATGCTCCTTTTTCGTTCCAGCAGTGATATCTAGTGCTCCGCCAGTCTTTCTGCCATTGCTGCCTTGCTTGTGCTTCGCCACGCATGTTTGTGTTTCTGCAGATTCTGCCACTACGGCTACCACCGCCACCACCACAAAGACCACCACTTCTTTTGCTGCTGCTACGACTGCTACTACTACTGCTACTACTACTACTACTACTACTACTACAACTACTGCTACTACTACTACTACTACTACTACAACTACTGCTACTACTACTACTACGACTACTGCTACTACTACTACTGCTGCTACTACTACTACTACTACTACTACTACTACTACTACTACCGCTACTGCTACTCCTAACGGGTCCCGGCAGCCACGGGCAGAGAGCTCAACAATTTTGGGGCCATCCCCCGAGCCTGCAAGGGGCGGTGTCAACATGCCCGGCATGTTGGGGAGTGCGTTGAGGAGGCTCTTCCCCGTCATGCGTTCCTGCCAGAAGTCTTCAACAGGTCAAGGTGAAAAGCCAGCTAGAAACCTACAGTGACACCCTCAGACATAACCCCCTATCTCCACAGTCCTTGTTGGCATCCAAGAGCTTCTTGAATGGGTCCTCCTTCTCGATGGACCCACCTTGATCCTGAATCGCAGTAGATTCGTGACCACTCTGTTTGGTTGACACGGCTCGGCACGAAAGGTCTGCTGAAAGTTCCACGAAACCATATAGGGATTAGCGACGGCTGGCAGCGCAAAGTATACGACAGAAGTCCCCCAAATTCATACGAGAGCAAGTTCAGATGCAAGAAGCCTGCAAAAGCACAAACCGGCTAAACCTAGTCACATTTCCGGGATGAAGATCAGAGATTAAGCTTCCTGCAGGAGGGACTGCAAGCTTGTCACCCTTGCCACCTGAGATTTCCTGAGTCCCCGTCCTGGCCCATGTTCATCTTCTCAGCCGTCCAACGGCGCTGCGTAGCATCGATCCTCGTCATTTTCTTGACTGGACTCAGTGCTCCAGCTTAGGAGGAGGGAGGGTACAGGCTTTCTGCTATGTTTGGGACATCGGTCCTCCCCTGAGTCAAAGTCTAGGACGCCTGCATACTTAACCCATCTTCGAATCCAAAGTGCAATGCCCACGGCAGGTTCAGCTCCATGCACCGCTCTTGGTTCAGACGCTCGAGGACGGCCGTATTGGTAACCCCGTTGTCCTTGGTTTTAATTGATTTTGACTCGAACCGACTGATGTGCGGACACCCTGGTCGAAGCTACGAGGGTTTGGGGGCAAAGGGCTTAACACAACTAGGCCCGGAATCTGAATCCGCCCCAAACCTGTACCTGCCCTTGCCATAGCCAACAAGATTCGACCATTAGCCTTAGCATGCGGTCTGTGTGGCTGCTCATCCCAAGGGTCACCATGGTCTCGGCCACCAACTCGGCCAGCCTCAAGGTTGTTGCAGCAAGTCGAGCTCATGGGTGACATCAGAGTAGTAGAGGTACTTCGTTGTCAAGAAAACTGCAGTAGCAGGTGTAGTAGTAGTCGTCGTAGTAGTAGAAGCGGTCGCGGTAGCGGTAGAAGCCGCAATAGCGATAGCAGTAGTAGCAGCAGCCGTAGCAGTAGCAGTAGTCGTCGTCGTAGTGGTAGTGGTGGTGGTAGGGGTAGTGGTGGTGGTAGTGCTGTCGAAACCGGAGACAACGAGCCGACTCCGTAAGTATCCCCTCATAGTAACCCTAGAAGCAACCTTGTGTAGACTACACCCCTGTTCACTACATCCCTTATACGATTCAGCTGCGCTGCTTGACCTCGCTCTCGGCCTCCTCCCCTTGGCCAAGGCCGTAATTCTCGGCGTTCACCCCGCCGTGAGTGCCCAAGGAAATAGCTTTCTGCTTCAGGTCACCCTCAGTCCTGAGAGTTGTGAGGGCTTGAAGGGTTAGGATTACAGTAAGACTGAGCTCCCAACCCAAGCCCATGTGCTGTCTAGGGGCCTTCAACAGTGAGACCGAAACTTACAGGGCATCGAGCCACTCGATTGGAGCTGCTATCCCTTAGAACTATGTTGGCATGTCCGGATGTCTGTCTGAACAACATCCGAGCGTCATGTCGTCGGAAGCAGACAAGCCATAAAGCTCGCGTGTAGACTCTACTTTGCGCTGGTGTACCATCTTCATTCGCTGCAGCCAGATGATGAAGACGAACTTCGAGACGATGTTCAGAACGACCCAACCCATCTCGATGATGAAACCGTCCGTGATAACACCGAAACCCTCCACGCTCAAGCTGAACCACATCGGGAAGGGGAACCATGTGAGGATCAAGCACAGCGATAGCTTGCGGAAGTCGGAATCGCCATGAAGGAAAGACTCCTCACCCTCACTGTTCTCTCTGATCTGAATGGCGTTGTGGTAGAACATGATGCTAGCAAGGCTCAAGCCGAAGCCGTACCATGCGAAGCGCAAGGCGTCACCCGTGAACATTGAGGCCGTGCCACAAAGCAGGACGGCCACGGAGAGCAGCGGCATCATGAAACGGCGATAGCTTGGCACACGGGAGCCTGCAAGGACCACCAGCTTCAGCTGCATGATCGGGCACGTAAGGATCCACTCGACGGGCCTGGACAAATTGAGAGTGAAGTTGTTCGAGCGGCCTGGCAAGTCGAAGTCATCAATGGCCGTGAGCTGCAGAATGTTGAAGAAGCCGGAAAAGAGGGCCACGGCTGTGCTGATCGTGGCACAGATGTTGTGGCGCTGCTCCAGGGGTGCCTGCCGGGCAAGTCGTCACGTTGGCTTCTGGGAATGCCATTTCTGTTCCAGGCCTTTAACTTTTGGCTTGCAAGCACCCTCTCTGTGCCTTCTGAGCAACGGCAACCTTCGAGTTGTTTGCGAAGATCAGCCACATGGCGAGGAACATGAAGCCGACACCCTGAATAATCTGTGCCTTGCAGTTGAAGGTTGAAGCGTTGAAGGCTTCGCTCGGTGCGCAACTTCGGATTCAGGGGTTCGGTGTTTTCGGGAAACGGCTGTTCAGGGCTTCGGGCTTTCGACCCTTTCTTTGGGTCTATGGCGGGATGAAATCCTCTCAATCCTGAATACTCAAAGCCGTCTGAGGTATAAACGCAATCCCGAGATACAACATTGTGGCCATCAGTCAGGTCCACGCCATCAGTGCCTCATCGCACGACTTAGCGAGGGAATATGCAACACGCCTCATGGTGACATCCTGGATAGACTTCACCCAGTGGGCAAGTGTACAGCATCCAAGTGGGAGCCTGTTCCGGCATGCCCGTCTGTCTTGAACCGGAAACAAGATCCGTGCCGTCGTCTTTGATGTGGACAAACCCCTGCAAGTTGACAGCCTTTCAACCTCTTCTTCTCACAAATGACAAGGAGCACTCTTCGGTTTGAAGTCGACGTGTCAGCTCCTCTGCAACCTCGTTGATGGCCGACACCGCATCGAACAGTTTCTCCTGCTGTTCGAAGCGTCAGCGAGGCTCTCTTAGACTCCACTGCATGCGACCACACACCTAAAAGCTGGACTCTGATCAAAGTGCCTGTGGAGATACCGTCAACTCACCCATTCTTGATGCCGAGAGCAGGTGCGAAAGGACGTCGCAAGCAGTCTGAGCCGAACCAGCAGCTCCCGCAGCGACAATTGGTTGTGCTGTGTCTCTCAGAAGCATGCCTCCGAGCTTGCTGCTGTTACTACTACCGCAACAACGCCGACGGCGACTTTCATCATGGCCGTTTCAATACTTTCACCGAGTATCGTATCGAACCGCCCGCTCCCGGATCGAACCGAACCGAAGTACTTGGGACCGCACCAACCCGAACCGAAGCCCTCACCCCCACCTCACCTCCCCACTCCCCCTTCCCCCCTCCCACCTCACCCACCTGCCTCCCACCCCACCTCACACCATCCTCCCACCGCTGAAAAAACCCACCCACCTTCCGCCTCCCCCGCCTCCCGCCTCCCGCCTCCCGCCTCACCTCCCAAACCCCAAGCCTTACAGGTTTTTTTTGCCGTAAGGCTTGAGATCAAGGTTTTGTTCTGGTTCGGGGCTTGGCTTGCACCGCCCGCCTTGCCCGGCCCGCATTGGCCCACCCCCCCACAAGACAGGCCTCACTAGACCAGCGGGTGGCGCTGGAGGGTTAGAGGGAAGCCACCACCCACCACCGACCAAGATTGGTGGCGTGGGAGGTGGGAGGGGAGGTGAGGCTGGTGGAGGGGGTGGGAGGTGGTGGTGGGTGGCGGAGGTGAGGTGAAGGGGTGGTGGGAGCTGGGGAGGTGGGATGGGAGGTGGGAGGATGTGGGTGGTGGTGGGAGGTGTCATGGATTATGTGGTAGGCGGTGTGGGGCGGGAGGGTGGGTGGGAGGTGGGTGGCACCGAACCGGACCGTACCGACAGGCACCTCATCGAAGGAAGCCGCAGACAATGCTAACCGTACCGAACCGAACCGCAACACCCATGTTTATACAACTAGTACAAGTACAAGTATTGCTAGTGGTGTCAGGGAGAGGCAATGGGAACAACAGCAACACGAGCTTTCACCAATTCATATAGAAAGTTAGACATGCTGGTTCTGTTGGACTTGGGTGATACTAGAGTTTCGCGCGTGCTATGAAAGGGCATAGTCTCCAAAACCATCCGAAAAGGGTGATAGCTCAGCAACGGAGCTGCGAGCCCAGCCCTGCCGATACCTCCTTGCACTTGCCGTATGCACTTGCTAGTTCTTGCCATGGCCTATGACGAAACTGTAGCTGAAACGTAGCAGCACCACGTGACAACGGAAACCAACTGTTGCGGGATGGTAATGGAAAGAGTCATCAGCAAGTACCACTGTACTCATCGCCAGCCTTGCCGTCATCGTCACGTCCGCAGCATTTTATTCACGATCAGCCTCTCACCACCACCAGCACCATCGCCAGAGCTGTCATCACGGAGCTACAACTTATTGATGCTCTCGAGGCTCTGCCTTCTGCTGGCTGCGACCGAGCCACCCGCTTTTACCGTCGTCCTGAGGATGAAGAACAATCAGTCTAAAACCCTGAACGAAATCCCAGGAGCGTGGTGGCGAGTGCAAATGCACCTTCTGGGGTTTTTGTGTCTGGGATCAGGATTACACCTCCCCCCAAGCCACTGCTGTAGAGCAACACCGAAAAATGAAAGACGACGGCTGCAAAGTTGATGGTTTAAGGACGTGACGAGGGTAGCGCTGTACTACTGCAAACATCATCCCAGCCCTGCCGACATTGTACGGTATCTTCCCGTGTCTTAGCCTAAAGCTGCCCCCTGTGCCAGGGTGAACAAGATTACCAGCCTGAACATGCTGCGACAGCTCTTGCAATGAACAACACCTGCTTGCAGGGTAAGCATCTCAATCTCAGCCGGTGTCCCTGGTGGCACCTGCAACCCAAGGAGGCGAACTGAGCCACAAAGTCCGCTCCGAGCCGCATGTCATGTGAAGGCTCAGGTGTTAGTCTGAAGGATCTTTGGCATTTTAGGAATAGGCCGTTATGTTTCGGCTTCTCTCTCTCTGTCTCTCTCTTTCTTTCACAGCCGTTCATCCAGGACAAAGAATCATCTAGGCCGGGGATGCCATTGAGAATTCAGTCAGTGCAAATCCGCAGCTGTATGGCTGCTCTGCCCCCATATTTCGATCCCGTGCTCAACTGGGCAACAAGCTGAGACGAGTCAATGGATTTCCTCCATAAGACTGAAGCAGGACGTACAGCTTTGGATCAAGAGTTGGCGTGTTCAAGTTTTCGCATTATGCTCTCAAGTCGGACCCTGCTAGGTGAGAGTTTAGTAATCCAGGCACACGTCCCTCTTATCTTGCACAAACTCACTCACACAAAAGGCAAGCAGGACTTTCATCCGGACCAATGTCATTCCTTCATTCCCTGCTAACCACCGGCAAGCCAAGTGCATGGAGGTGCTTGCGTGCCAATTTTCTGAACAGGCAGTGTGGACACCTCTGCCCGTGACTGTTACCGGGTGGTTTGTTGCAGGTGTTGCTTCTTCCAAATCTCACAGGACAGGGATGCGTGACTCTGAGGAGAAATCGTGTCTTCGCAGAGTGCTGTAAAGCGGAGTTCTCGATACCATACCCAAAAACGAGATCCCACGTTATGTACACACTCACACCCACACACCCACACACACGCACACATGTTACATAACACAATGTGCAAGCGGTACATTCTGAAGCCGAAAACTGACCTATGTCAGAATTTCCGGACGGTCGAATTTTGCCACAGTCCAACCCACAGGGGTACGACAACAGCCTCCAGTTTTGGGCTCGCTGCTGGAGACGAAGTGGGTGTAGCACCTGCCGTGCCATGGAGGAAAACCAAAAACGTTGGGAAGGTGGCAATACAATCGGTTCCTCCGCGTGGCAGTCACTACTGCTGCTGCTGCTGCTGCTTCTGCACTGCCCCTGCTGAAAAGTCTCATGATGATTCTGTGTCTTTGCGGCTGGTGCTGCTGATGATTGCCTTCGTTACCAGATTCCCGGTGGCAGCCTTTGGTGATGCTGACCGCCGTAGGCCGGACGAAGATGCCATGTTCAGGCTCGCACCTGTTGCGAAGCGGTGTTGGCCCAGGAAGCACACAGGCAACACGCGACAGGACTGCCGCGCACTCAAGCCTACCATGTGGGTCATTAGTGCCACACTGTGACACCTGTCTACCGGGTCCTGGGCCTGGGTCAGATGCGAAGCCAGAGACGCCAACGCTGCATGAGTGAAGCAGACCGGGTAACTGGGAGCGCTCGAGAGGAACCCCCCTTTGATGTCAGAAATCCACATCCTGCAAATAATCCGGAAATGCACCTCTCAAAATGCCGAGGCGGGCACACGAAGTACACTTCGCCCTTCACGCTTCCGTTGTTCTTGCCGGCTTTCTTTTCCAACCTCTGACTCAACTTGCCACGCGAAACTTTCCTCCCCAAGTCAGCAACACTCCGAATTCCTTGTATCATCTTGCTGCTACAGGTGAATGACTAGGACCATGAAAGAGAAAGGCGCAAGTTGCGTGAAAGCTGTTTGCGCCAGCAGAATGCACAAGCTCAGCATGCCACATGTGCAGATGCGAAACTAGGCTCGCAATCACGAGGATACAAGACAAGGGGCAACGAATGGCAGATGTCTTGTAGAAACGCGTGCTTGGAGTCACAGGGTAACCAATGGGGGAAGCAAACCCGCAAGCGTCTAAAGGCCTCTGCCAACAAACTAGCAAGTGTAAGGCAGCTGCTCGATGCCTAGCCAGTCGCCAGGCGCAAACTTCCTCGATGACGCCGCGGGCTCACAACAGATTCGGGAACACCCGCAGAAAACAGGCCCTGAGCTACTAAAGGCTTTGACGAACCCTAGTTGCAGTGCACTTTAGCATCCACGGGCTGGGGGTGTAGACTTCATTGCTGTCTCGGAGCGAAAGACCCTGGCCCACATGGTGGGTTATAGCCCTCACACTCCAAATGAGGCATATGCAACAAAGCACACGATGGAATAGTGTTACATCACAACTCCAATCAAAGCAGTCGGCATATTCTGAGCCATTTGTTGAACACGACTCGGGTCCGGTGTCAGTGTTGCCAATGACGTGAACTTTTCGTGGTGTTGTGCTGCAAGGGAGAAGGTCTACCAACGCAGCCCAACAGCAAGCAGAACTACTTGGGCCCCGTTCTTAGGACCTTAAGACAATTCCGGACTAGGGCCCCAAAAATTGAAGGCATGACGGCCCAATCAAACATGACCCAGCTGGGATGCTTTCAAAGCCCTAGGGGCTGCAAGGCCACACAGGAATTCCGAGAGCGTTGGGCCCGTTTTCAAATGAGCTGAAGAACTGAATACGGGACTTCTCCACCACGGCCCGTCACCCTGAGATACCCTGAGCCATGTGACGTTGCGCCCGCGAAGCGAACGATGCCTCGCAGTTGCTGGTCAGAGAGAGCTATGACCTCGGTGCAGCCCGCCCGAGTGTGACAGTCAGTCCTTTCCTTACACAAAGCGGTGCTGTCAATGATGCCTCGGCACGCTACTTAGCGTTTGGCCGTGTGCCGACTGACCGGGGCTCTTGGTATTCAACTGCTGCCCGCGCTGTTTTTTTGCCGTGATTGTTGGCAATTTGCAAGACATGTCGTGCTTGCTTGCTTGCTTGCTTGCGCAGGGGTATGGGCTCCCGGGGGAACCCTGGCCCGAAGGCCTAGACATGTTGTGCCTCTCTCTCTCTCTCTCTCTGTCTGCCGTTGCATCTGCCTGACACAATTTTTTGTTGGGACAAAGGCATGTGGCGGCTTTTGTCGGGAAAAGAACCGGTCGGGTTTGGCAGCAATGCCCCATTAACCAAGTTGTCAGATAGCACGTTTTTGCGGTCAAGATGACCTGTGCAGCTTCGGTGGAAGCCCTTCATTTTGCCGAACTTGCTTGAACCCTTACTGACCTGCCTCGTAGCTTTCAGGCTTGGCCGTCGTCCAGGCTTGTCCGGACAGTCAGCATAAATGATACTCAAGGCTCTAGGTCTAGGCATAAACATAACGCAGGATGCTCCTCCTTCCATCCGTCAACAGATTCTTCTGC